GACCAGGTGGTGCTGGGTGGGGGGGCCCTGTCTTCGTCCTCACGTCTGAACGGAAACTACTCCTGTGGTGTGGGCACTTACCCGTTCGCCGGGGGCGCCCTTGGGTCCAGGGAGTCCATCCCTGCCGGTCAGACCCTGGGGAGGGAGGTGGACTCGAGGGTCACTTAGAAAGGATGAGCCCCCCCCACTTCCGTGTGCGGGGAGAACGAGCCAGGGCTTTTCCCTGACTGCACCCCCGGGGCCTGGCACCGCCTCTCCCGCTGTCCCCTGTCCCCCTGCCATGTCTACAGGCTCCGGGGGAGGCAGGGGCAGCCAGTGCCTGGAGCAAGCGTGGGAGTCGGTGAGCCCAGCAGGCAGGAGCGTCCACTTCTCAGACCCCTCCAGTCCCCGTGGATGGCCCTGAGCCCCGAGGACCAAGGCGCTGGCCTCAGAGGGGCCCGGACCGTGGGCGTTTGTCCCCAGATGAGTGAGGGCTGGGGGGACTTTCACCTCTGCTGTGGGCGGCTCTGTCCTCGGCCGCCTGCCCACCTTGGCCAGACTTAGGACTCGGGCTCTGGGATAAAAGCCAAGGGCCCCCTGCTGGGGCCATCCGGACTCTCCCGTCCCGCTTGACAAGGCCCAGCTGGAGAAGAGCAATTAACCCCGACCTCTGAGGCAGGGAAGGGGCCCGGGCCTGGACGGGGTGGGGGGCTCTTGGGGTGAGGGGCCTGGGCAGCAGCGCACACTCACGTCCACACCCGGCAGTCCTGGCAGCCCAGCCTCTCCGGCGCTCCCTGGCTTCCCCACGGCCCCTCTCAGTCCCTGTGGGGGAGGGCAGAGGTGTGAGCGGTGGCCTTCACCCAGGAGACAAGTGTGTTCCAGTCAGGGGCACCCCCCACCCCCACAATCCCAGACAGCTGCTCTCCACCGCAGAGGCCAGTGTCCAGACCCGACCTCCTGGGGTCCCCCCCAATCCCGCCCCAGCCCGGAGAACTTCCCTCCCCAGCCACCCGCTTACTCAGCCACCTCTGTAGGTAGGACACCTGCCTGGGCGCTTCGGCCCCCCAGCTAAGGGCTGGCGGGTCCCTCTGTGGGATCCCCAGTGAGCCGGGACCGAACAGCTCTGCGCGGGCTCACTCGTGGGACCTCTGACGGCTGCCCGGGTGGGCTACGGCCACCCCACCCCCGGCCCGCCCTGGCACCGGCCCAAAGGACGCTTCAGAGCCAGAACTCGCCCAGTCACAGGGAAGCCCACACACTCCCTGCCACCCTCACTGGGCCCAGCCCCATTCCCAGGCCCCTGAGGCCACCCCTCCCCCTACCACAGCAGGACACTCACCGGAGGCCCAGGCAGACCTGGAGGACCAGCTTCTCCCTGCAGAGGGGAGGCGCCCATGTGTGAACAAGCGTCCCCTGAAAACCCTGCCCCAAGGAGCAGAGCTGGACCCCAGGAGACAAGATGGGGGCCCCTCGCCCCTTGTCCACGCCCGGAGGACTCCTTCCTCCAGGGCCAGGCACGAAGGCAGGCACTGGGGAGAGGGGCCAGCTGGACAGACGGGCTCACTCCCTGCATGGCCCACACAGATTTCGGGGACCACTTTGCGGGCTGAGAGACACGGCCCCAGGAACGAGGGAATGCGTCATGACGCTGCAGACAGGGGGATGGGACAGCTGGGGGGCCTTCCACCTCCACCTGGCCAGCGGGGGCAGCCCAGGCCCTGCCCGCAGGCTAGGCCTCAAACCCTTTAAGATGCTCCCAGGCCAGGCTTTAAGTGGAAGCATCCGGAAGGAATGACGGGCTTGTCTGATTGGCTTGGCCTGGGAGGCCTGGGGCACCAGGTGCCTGGTGAGAAGCATGGAGGAGGCTCAGGGCCGCTGAGGACCGATCTGGGGGGCTCCACCAGGGATAACATGGGTGAGGAGAGGCCTTAGAGGGACCCCCTTTTCATGGAGGGGGCTGGATGGGAGCGGGCTGTGGGACTCCAGCTGCATCCCCACATTGCTGGCCTGGACACCCATTGGGGATGCCACCTCCAGTGCCTACCCAAGCCCCTCTGAGGCTGGCTCCAGGCCCCAGTGACCCCCAACAAGACCCCCAGAGGGGCCGGCCCTGCACCGCTGCCCCCAACCCCCAGCATACCGGGGCAGGGGCCCTTCGGGGACCCAGAGCTGCACGCCTCAGTGCCCACATGTCCACAGGTTAGATCACCATGCAGCCCCCACCTGCCCTGGGGATGCAGTCGAGTCTGTGCCCCAGCGTCTCACACCCCACAGGGGTGCTGATGGCACCCCGCCCTGGGAGGCAGGACCTAGTTCTCACTCCATCAGGCTCAGGGTTTCAGGGCGGCTGGGGCCAGAGCTAGAACTGCACAGACCCCTCCCCAGCCCTTCCCATGCCCCAGACTCACGTCAATGCCATCCTTGCCGGGCTTCCCGGGGGGCCCTTGGGGGCCAGGGGGGCCTCGAGGCCCCACTTTCTGAAATGGAGAAATGCTATTAGGCTGCAGGGAGGGTCGGCCTGACAGAGTGACCCCTCTTCCCTGTCCGGAGCAGCACGGGGGCCTGTTACAGGGGCCATGACCCAGCCAGCCTCGGAGACCCCAAAGCGTCTGGCCATGGCGGCACCCACTGCCTCAGCCCTCCAGCCAGGCGGGGCTGCGTCCGGAGCCTCGGGGAACAAAGCAACTTTGTGTGTCTCCGGTGGTGGTGGCCCTGGCAGTGGCTGGACTTGGGCCCGGAGAGGGTAAGGTGGTCTCCCGGGCTCGCCCCAAGGAGTCCCGTGTCCGTGGGACGCCATTGGCACCCCGGCTCACTAGCTGGCCCGGGGGGCTGGCTGCGGGGTCGTCCCTGGTACCCTGGCCGCACTGCTGCACCCCTGGCCCATCGCCCCAGCCCGCCGCTCGCCCGTGGCCCGTGCTCACCTGAGCCCGGGTCCCGGTCAGCGTCCCGGCCAGGAGCAGCCCCAGCAGGAGCAGGGCCAGCGCGGGGGCTCTGGCCATGGCTGCGCTCTGGCTCCGAGTGCCGCCGGTGGCAGCGACGCTGGGCTGGGGCCCGGGGCTCGGCAGGCAGGGCGGGGGGTGGGCAGCTCGCCAGTTCCCGCCCCGGCGGCTGTGCACAAGCCCCCCATTCAGCAGGGCCACCTGGGCGGGTGAGGGCGCCTGCCTGCCGCGTCGGACGGGCAGGAACGCGGCGTGGTGGCTTTTTTTTGGGCCGGTCTCTGTGCTAGAATTATCCCGGGCGGGCGGGCGATGCACACATACGCCTTTCAGCAGAAAAAGGAGCGCTCTCTCTGGCCCCTCGCCTGGGGGGTGCGGGGTGCGGGAGGGGGCCGCGCTGGGGGCTCCCCCCTAGGGGAGGGGCAGCCTCAGCCTGAGAGCTGGGGTGTGGAACTCACCTGCCCCTCCCACGCCTTGGGGCCCCGCCTGCCCGACTGGGAGCACGTCCTACCCCCAGGGCCTGCTCAGGCTTCAGCTGGCCGAGTGGACCGTCCGCAAAGGCCAGACTCAACAGCACTCCCCACCTCGCCAGAGAGCAAGTGGTGGGCCTGGCGGGGGGAGGGAGTGCCACCATGACACAGCGACATGACCCACGGGGACTCCGAGGCTGCTGTCAGCTCTTTCCGTCTCTCCCAAGCCTCAAGCTCCGGATTTGGGCTTCACCCTGGGAGGACAGGGAAGCCCTGGGGTCCCTCACTCGTCCAGGTCACCCACCGCCCAGCGAGCGCAGGGCCCTGCCACACCCCCAGGGATCTGAGCCTCCTGAGGCCGCTGCTGGGAGAGCGACTCAGGGCTTTGAGAGGTGTGACTTCACCTGGGAGGGGTGGGCGGCCCAGAAAAGGGAGCCTGGAAGCCGCGGCTGGGCTAGGGACCTGGCTAGGGACCTTGGCTATTGGTCAGGCGCCTGCAGCTCTTTCAGGCCCGGCCAGGCCCCCGGCTGCAGGGAGCGTGTGAACGAGGGGGGTCTGTGAACGGTGTCCTGAGGAGCGAGAAGATTCTCTCTCCAGCAGTCGGAGCTGGCTGGGGAAGCCGCCCTCCCCCACACCAAGGCTGGGGCCTGGGGAGCACCCTGGTCTCCACCGGCTCTCCCCCGTCCCTCCCTTGTCCCTCCCGCCGGGCCCCACAGCTCTGCTCCTGCTGGACGGCTCAGAGAAAGCCTGGCTGGCCTTCACCGGCTGCGACCTGGGCCTGGCGTCCTGCCCCACCCCCAGCTCCTCGCAGAGCCCCCCATCCTGCTGCTGGGAAGCACCCCACGCCCTGGAGAGCTGGCATGGCCGTGGCCGAGGGCTGGGGGAGGTCGGGGGCAGAGGCTTGGGGGGCGGGTGGACCGGAACTGCCTGCCTGGCCCTCAGTCCCCCACCGCTGGACACAGGCCCCCCACAGCCGCTCCGAGGGGGTGTCCTTTTCACTCAAAACTTCTCCGTCTGAACTCGGACCCCATAATGCTATTGACTGAGCATCCGTCTGCCCGCTGGGGTCCGTGGGTCCGGGAAAGATCCAGTGTTTGAGCCCCACACCCACCCCCTGCTCAGTCTTCGCGGTGGGACTGGCCGCATGCACGCCCCTCCCCCACTCCAGGGCTGGCGAAAGCTAGCTCAGGGGCGCCCTCCAAAGTGACTTCCGACTCCAGGCCAGGTGTGAACCAACAATGCTTTTCTGGAAAAGGAGTCCAGACTGCCCAGCTCTCAGAAGGCACAGCCCGTCCGCCTCCAGGACAGCTGTGGCCTCAGCACTTCATGTGTGGACCTCAGTAAAGCCCCCTCTGCCACATCAGGGAGTGGGGTGTCTGGCACGGCGGGGCGGCGGTGAGGAGAGGCCAGGACGAGCGTAGCCCTGCCCTGTGCAGAGGGGCTGCCCTGGGAGGGGGCTCACTGCACCCACGCTGGCTGCCAGGCTGGGGGTCCTGGGGAGGCTGCGACTGAGTGCAGAGGGTCAGCAGGGGACTGTGGCCAGGAAGGGATGGACAGATGGCACTGCTGCGTGTGCTCCCGAAGGCACATCTCCGCTCCGGAAGCCAGGGCAGGGAAAGTCGTGGTCCAGGCCTGGGCACGCCCAAACGCTGCTCCCCCGAGTCCACGCGAGTCCCCTCTTGAACCAGTGACGAAAGGTAGCCAAGGACCAACTGTCCAGCACGAGGCTCCAGGAGGACCTGCGGTCAGCGTGTGCGGGCGCGGTGTGTCCAGGAGGGCTGCACCCCCGCTGGGGTCCACACCGGTTCCACAGGCTGAGTAGTGCCATGGCTGGGCCAGTCAGGACACAGGGCCCCCACGGGACCACTGTCCACTCCGCAACACTCAAAGTCAAATGTGTTTATTCAGAAAAGGCCTTGCGCCAGGCTAAGAAAGAGCCCCCACTCCCACCCCCAGGCCCCAGGCTAATTTACAAAGGTGGGGGCAGTGGCACGGAGGAGGGAGTCGGGAAATGAGGTCCAGGTGAGGATTCTGGAGTCCCTGGCCTTCCCCCAGGCAGCAGCCACTGCGGTGACCACCAGAGAGGCCAGCACTGCTGGATGCTGCCAACAGCTGGCAACGTGGCTCCTCGACCCCCACGGGCCGGGACGAAATGCAGGCCAGGTCCCAGTGCCTAAGGCGCTGGGGGTTCGGCGGCTGGCCCGGCTTCCGCAGACTCCGCCCTCTCGTCCAATGAGCGTCCTGCAGCGGCTGGGCTCCCGGGGGACCCCTGCTCCTGCTCCCCCTGGCCCTCTGCCTTCTCCTTGACCCCATTTGCCCCCACTCCAGCCTCTGGGCACCCTGAGCAGGTAGGGGGGCAGGTTGGGGCTGGCGTCTGGTCACCGCCACCCGCGGCCGCCACTGCACTGTCCCCGGGGCCCTGGTCCACCTTCCTTCTCTTCCTCACCTCGTCCGCCGCCTTGGCCCCTGAGGGTGGGGGACAAGGAGGCTCAGCCTCCCCCTGTTCCTGGCCGCCCACCTCCTGGCTGCCGGCACCACTGAGGCTGCCCTGGCTGAGCGCACAGCCCTCTAGGTTCAGGGCGATTTTCTCCACGTCCGAGGGGCTCTGGGGGCCCGGGTCCCCTGGGGCCTGCTCCCCCCGGTTCACCTCCAACTTCCTCTTCTTGCTCTCCTTGGGGCTGGAAGGCTCTGGCCCCTCCTCCCCTTGGTTCCGGGCGTCCTCTCCCTGGTCCCTCTCCAGGGCTCCCGCCTCCTGGGGCTCTGTGCTAGGCGGCTGGGGACCCGCGGCCACACTGTCCCCGCCCCCCTCTGTCCCCAGTCGGCGGGTCAGCCCCTGGGCACCGGCCCCCAGGGGGTCCTGGGGGCTCTCCTCCCCCTCGGCCTGCCCAGGGCCGGCCGGCAGGGGCGGGCAGGGCCCCGGGACGTGCAGCCGGAGCCTCCGCAGCTTGTCGTGAGGGCCCCACACGAACTTGCGGCGGGGCCGGAAATGCTCCCAGGCGAAGCGCAGCAGCGCGCGGCGCTGGCGCCGGCAGCGCACGGTGAACACGAAGTAGTCCAGGGCGCTCTGCCGCACGCCGGGCAGCGCGCGGTGCACCAGCGTCTCCTCCAGGAAGAAGCGCACCAGCGGCGCCTGGTAGCGCTCCAGGCCCAGCTCGCCCAGCGCCTTGAGGATGCGCGTGATGCGGAGGTTGTTATGGCTGTGGCTGGGGGCGGGGCGAACAGGGCGGCGCTGATGGGCGGTTCTCAGCCGAGGCCCGCCCTCCTCCTCCCCGCGCCCCGCCCGGCTCCACCCCCACCTCCGGGAGCCTGCCGTTGGGCTGGGATTGTGAAGCTGGGAATGTGAAGCGACCTGCATCTTCCAGAAGGGTGACTGTCCCCTTGGTCCCATGGAACACCCCCCCATATGTCTGGAGGGCCAGAGGGGGCCTGGCACAGGGGCCTCAGTCATCCACGTGCAAAGCTGGTTGTGCCATGAGCGGACTCACTCCTGTCCAAGGGTTCTCAGCAGGACAAGGGGGCAGTGGCTGCAGAGCTGACCCAGCCAGGGGGTAGGGGGCACAGCTAAGAAGCCACATGATCCGTGTGGCTTTCCTTAGGTCCTCACGTCCTATCAGGTAGGACCCAGCCCCACTCTGCAAGCAGAAGGAAGGTGCTGAGGGCCTGAGTCACCTGCCCCTCCTCCCGGAAATGCTCCCAGACACCTGCCTGAAAGCCAGACGGCTCCCTCCCCATGGGCCTGAGCCCAGCGGTGCTGGCTGCGGGGTGGGGCGGCCCTCACCAGTTGAGGTTCTGAAAGCGCTCCGCGTAGTTCTGTGCCCGGCACACCTTGCCCGTGTCTCGGTCGTCAAGCTGGATCCCGTAGAACCCCAGCATGAGCTCGTAGGCCTGGACCAACCGCTCTCCGGCCTCCCTGCAGCTTTTAAAAGCCTGGAAAGCACCGCAAGCAGAGCAGAGGGCTCAGGGGCCTTCGCGGGCAGACGTCAGGCTGGCCGATGCCCCCTCGGGCCTGGACTCAGACTTTTAGGGCAAAGTGACAGGGTGACGGGGCCTACAGACACCTTAATAATGTAAGTCTCTCTGCTCTGAGCTGCCACGATGAGGTCACGGGGCCTGAGGAATTCCTGGAGCCGCTGGGAAGAGCTCAGGGGACTCCCAGGGCCATCCCCCACACCCAGCAGGAGACGCCCACCACCTCCTTGGAGCTCCCGTGCCCCCGGGGTGTCCTGCTCCAGCCCCAGCCGACAGGAAGTCTGACTCCTCAGAGGCCTGTGAGGAGCCGAGGGGGCAGAGGCGGGGAGGATAACTGGGGTGTGTTTCGGCTCCTGCGCTACAAGTGGCTCCCCAGGGGCACACAGCTGCCTGTGCCAGACGTGGCCCCACCCAGGGCAGGGCAAGCCCAAGAGCTCACCTCCACCTCCCGCTTCGTGAGGGGCTTGGCGTGCCAGTTCACTCCTGGCTCCCGAAGAGGAAAGAGCCTGTGGGAGAAGCGATGCCACAGGTCAGTGCCAGACGGGGTCCCCGCCACTCGGGCACACGCCAGCCGGGCAGCCTGGGGCGGCTCAGCGCTCAACGCTAGGAGGGTCTGGCCGGACCGGCACCTGCCACGGGCGCTCAGAGCCGAGCTGAGGAGCAGGGCAGGAGGGTGCCAAGGAGGGTGTCACAGACCGGGGCACGAGACAGGCAGGTGCAAGGGTGGCCTGCAGGAGTCTCAGCACGCGTGCTCGGCAGCACGGCCACCGGCCAGCCACTCCGCCCAGGGCGGCCGGCTCCCTTCTTATTCTAGCTCCTGTTCCCTCCCATGAGCAAAGCCGCAGAATCAGTCCCATGCTGCCCCGCGCCCCACCCTCGAAGACACGCTGTGTTTGTGGGGCATCAAGGGCCACCTCAAGCCACCACACGTGTCAGAGGAGCTCTGCAGGGCAGGCCAGCGCCAGCCACCCTCTGGGCCTCCCGCCAGCCAGCAGGTCCCTGGCCCGTGCCCAGCATCAGCTCCCAGCAGGTCCCTGGCCTGTGCCCAGCATCAGCTCCCAGCTGGCTGCAGAGGCTGTGTACAGCTAAAAAATCCACAGCCTCAGGGCGCTCAGGGTCTCCCCTCCACTGCCACCGGCCCACAGCGCCCACAGTGAGCGCAACGGTGGGCTTTGCAAGAGAGCCAGTGCGCCCGACTTGAGGACTCCTCCTGAGCCAGGCCCTCCAGCCCCTTCCCGGAGACCCCTCAGCCGGGAGGCCCTCCCTGCTGGAGCCCCGCCCCCGGCCCATCCCACTCACCACTGGATGTAGGAATGATTGTCCTCCAGGAGGTCGTAGTCGTCCCTCCAGTTCTGAAGAATTTCCTCGATGAAACAGCCTGGGAGACCCGTGGGAGCAGTCAGCACAGTTATTCCAAGCCCCCCGCCCCCCTCCTTGCTTGGGGACCCTGGGGCTCCGCAGCTTCCAGGTATACGTGTCATGTGATGTAAACCCCTAAACTTAGTCCTTCAGCCCCTTTGCCATCTGTAAATGGAGAACTCCATCGGTGACTGAGGACAGACGTGAGAGAGAAGACCCCACTCGCGGGGAGGGCCCGGAGGCCCCTGGCAAAAGGGCAGGTGGTCTCAGACCTGCACCTGTCGCCCAAACCACAGCCTGTGAGCTGGAACTCTGCCCTCGCATGGAGCCCGCAGCTGAAGCGCCCCCCCCCCAGTAGCCTGGTCTCCCACAGGGTGGCCGTGGGTCTGAATACTGGAGGCTGTGCGGCCACCTGGCCTCCAGGGCGATGTTGCTGTCATAAGGGAAGCAGCCACAGACCATGCACAACCGAATGGGTGTGGGGGTTCCCCATAAAACTTCACTCATGGACACTGGTTTGAATTTCATATAATTTTCACATCATAAAATGACACCTTATATTTTTTCCAAGTGTTTAGAAATATAAAAACTACCCTTATGCGTTAGCTGATATAAGCGGCTTTGCCACTATAGCAGAAGAGCTGAGCACTCGTGACAGAGACCTTAGGGGCTGCAAAGCCACCAGCATTTACTGCCTGGCCTGTCAGTCACAGCAAGTTTGCCCACGGGGTCCTAGCCACAAGTTGGGGCCCTGGCATCCCCTCAGCAGGCTCCAGGGGGCGCTGTGGGGCTGCATGGAAGCCAAGCGCTCCACATGCAGCTGTCCCAAACCAAGTCCCAACAGACCGGATCCCAGCAGATGGAGAGGGAGAAGGGAGAGGGGCACCCCAGCAGGACCGAGCGGCCGCCAGGGACGTCACGCACCGTTAGGCAGGAACCGGATCTCGTTTCTGTAGAAGCTCAGGTTGGGCATGTCCCCGTTGCTGTCTCGTTCCACCAAACCCTGAAGAGCAGAGAGCATAGGTCAGGGCATCGCTGGCATCGGCAGTGGGGGCATCGGCGGTCACATGCCACCAGTCATCGGGAACGGCCTGCCTCCCAGAGCCCCTCAGGGCAGAGCACTCCTGGGGGGCAGGTATCTACTCTGGCCAGACACCTCCAGACAGCTGAGGGATGGCGAAGACCCCACACGCCCAGCCTGGGCCGCGGACATCGCAGGTGGGGACTGGCCTCGCCCCAGTCAGCCTCCGCCTCTCACGGCCCCCTTCCCGCCTCTCCAGTGTGAGCCAGGGCCGGGGCATCCCCTTTACCTGCACCCCGATACGCATGGGTGCAGGGGCTGAGGGTGAGGATGCAGCTGCGATGGGCTGGCGGCCTGGGGCCTCGTGTGGACGTGCTGCGAGGGGCACTGCGGCTCAGAGAGGCCAAGGGACACACCACCCCGGCCTGCTCCGGTGGGAGGCGGGAGGGTTTCGTCCCAGGTGGGTGAGGTCTGAGGGAGCTGCAGGCGGCTACGTACCGGGTAGTGGTGCCGGTACCTGCGCGTGTCCCGCATGGCTCTCCAGTTTCGGGATCCTGCCGTCCTGGACTGCGGAGATAAGAGACAGCATGAGACTCTCCCTACTCGAGGCCCACCGGCACGCAGCACCCACCCAGGGAACCCCCGCTGAGGTGGGCGCAGCAACGACCTGGACTGGGTGTCGACGAGGCCAGGGGGCCCAGAGTGGCTGCAGTGACGCCTGCCTCCTTCTCAGCCCCTGCTGCCCGCTCCCGCCCTCAGGACCGCCAAGGTTGATGTGAACGTTTTGGGGTGCAGCTCCAGCTTCGCTTCCTCCTCCCGTGAGTACTGGCTGCCCCGCCTCGGGCTGCAGCCACCATCTGCCCTCAGGAAACCCGGCCACGCTTACTGCTTCCTCTTTGTGCTGTGCTTCCCCCGACACTGCGTCACGAGGCCTGTGTCCCCAGGGGCGGTGACCTTGCCACTTACAGGCTCACTCAAACACCTGTCCCAGGAATGAATGACCAGTCCCACCCTGCCTCCCGCCTCTAAGGCCAAGCACCCTAGGGTCCCAGGAAGGATGGGAGGTAACTGGTGGCCAGGAGGAGACGCAGACTGTAACAAGAGTGGGGGCACCGGGTGGGGCTGGGCCCGGCTCTCTGAGGCTGGGGGAAGAGGAGGGGCCACGGCAGACACAGCCCCTGGGCCAGGTAGGAGGGGCCAGCTCATCCTGGTGAAACACCTGGGTCCCCAGATCCTGGGAGGAGCAAAGGGCCGCTGAAGGGGCCGAGGAAGCCAGGCCTGACACTGCGTCCCCTGCTAGACCCCACTCTCAACCCCCAAGACCCCTCAATGGTTCTGAGCTCCAGCCGGAGTCTGGAGTTGCCCCGCTGCCCGATTTCTAAACCAGGGCCAGCTGGTGAGGTTCCTCCTACTGGCCAGAGGTCAGTGAGCAGAACCGAAACTCAGCAGAAGCTGGCCCCGCTGCTCTGACTCTCCAATTCTCCTGCTTGCCGGGGCTCGCCGGGCGCCTCCCTGGTCCAAGCGGCTTAAGAGGCTGGGGCCTGACTGGACACTGGCCACGCATGCAGCTCAGAGAAGGACCGGCCCCACAGGTGCACACACGATACAGCCCAGGACACGGCAACAGCTGTGCCAGGACCTACTGCAGGGCAGCTGGGGAGCACCAAGGGAGTCCCGGTGGGGCAGGACAGGGGGTTGGGACATTGTGGAGGAACAGAAGCCGTAGCAGGAGGGGACAGGGATGAGGTCGGAGGAGCACGGCCTCTCACGGGGCGGTCGAGGCACCAGAGCACCCTTCAGGAGCACGGCCTAGGGGACTACGGGAGGACAGCGGCTTCTCCCCTAATCCTCGCCACACCTGTGGGTATCCGCTGGGGGACAAAACCAGACTCCTGCCCTGTGGCCCTGACCACTGCCTAGCCTGGCTCCCCAAGGGTCTCGTGCCCACCTCAAACACTGAATGTGCTGAGGTTGCTGGCCTTCCAGGCTGGCCCAGGAGCCTCTCCAGGTCCTGCTCAGTGACCACTTCAAGACACTGAGTGGAAAACCCGCCGACAAGTGCTCTCATCTGCTACCGGGAGAACCCAACCCACAGACCACACAGAGCGGCGTTCCAGACACTCCACACGGGGCCAGGATGCCTTCGTGAAAAGCAACTGGGACCCAGGGCGATGGCTACCATGCTGGGCCCCCAGAACTCCTGGAACCCCAGTTGGAACAATGGCTCCCACACCCAATGAGCACAAGAAACCACTAAGGGCGAGAAACCAGTGGCAACAAAAGTAGCAGTAATGATAAGCAGCCAGTGGTAACAAAAGTAACCAGTGGTAATGCTGAATAACCAATGGTAACAAGTAACCACTAGTGACCTCCAGGAGTGGGAGGTCGCTCCCCCAGGGTGGGTGCTGCACCCAGTGAGGAAGGGCAGGATGACCTCCGGTGTCAGCTGGAGCAGACCAGGGGCCTGAGCAAGAGGGAGTCTTGGGTGGGTAGGGAGCAGGCAAGGTGTCCCCTGCGGGGGCCCAGGAGGCCGAGACGCTGGCGGTGGCAGTGGAGGTGGTCAGTGCAGAAGACGGGGATTTAAAGGGCAGAGCCCCAGGCCTGGAGGGGGTTGTGACCCAGAGAAGGATGTACCCCGGGCATTCCCTTGAAGGAAATGTCGCCAAGCAAATTCAGTCCTGGGGATACGGGTCTTAGGGTGGCCCTGATCTCCACGCAAGGTCCTCTAAGTGGGCCAGAGCTGGGGGGGCCCAAGGAGGCGTCCAGAGAAGCATCAGAGGGGCGCCAGGAGCGCCAGAAAAGGGCGACAGCTGGGGAGGGGGGTTGGGCCCCAAGCCGGGTCTCCAGGAGGTGCCTCCGCCCGGGGCGGGGGTGGGAATGGGAGTCGGGGGGAGGGGACGGTTTTCCCCGGAGCAGGGCCTCTCCCCCACTCCGCCGAGGCTGCGCAGGGCTCCCCGGGACGCGGGGGCCGTGCGGGGCGCGGGGGCTGCACCTGCAGCGCGCTGGGCCGCGCCTCCTCCTTGTCCTCGTCCTCCGCGTCTGCGTCCCCCGGGGCGTCGGCCTCGCCATCCTCGTCGTCCCCGGCGCTCGGGCCCTCGCCATCCTCCTCCTCGTCCTCCTCCCAGGTCGAATCGCAGTCCGGGTTGTCCATTCTCGAGCGGCGGCAGCAACCCGCGCTCCGGCGGAAGCGAAAGTGGAAGAGGAGGAAGCGCGGAGGCGGGCCGTGGGGCGGGGCAATCCGGGGG